CCGAGGCAAATAAACCAGAAAAAATAAAAATAAAATATCAAAATTAAAATAGGCAGACTGTTCTTTCGATTGATGCTATTTGAAATAAACCTTTTGACACCAAAACAGAATAATGAAATGACAAACTGTTTTGCCATTCTATTGTTTCGTTCTTAATTGAAATTCAAAAGAACGAATGGTACATGGACCCGTCTGGATAAAAGGTCAAAGTGTGATTCTGTGTCTGATTTTTCCATGTATTCAAGCAGAAGTTGTATTGCCAACATAAGTCAGCAAATTATATATCTGTCTGTGTCTGAGAACCGGGAAGTGCGCTGTTAGCATGCTAGTTGTTGCTAGCATTGCCATACAGCAACACTCCGCTCTGGTCTCTGAAAGTTGTGAAAAGTGCTTCTAAACTCATCGCAGTGAATAATCAGGATGCTCTGAATGCAAAAGGGAAGTGAGGAAGAACCATAGACTGTATATAAATGGACTTTGTACTTTCCACATAGGAAATGAGTCCTGGTCTAAAACTAGTTTAATGCTGGAAAAGATCTGGTGTGGATCTGGTTTTGTTTTGTCCTGCTTTCACTCAACTAGTCTTGGCTTAGACCTGCTTTAGACCTGGTTTAGACCTGGTTTAGATCTGGTTAAGTTCTTATTATAGACTAGACTTTGTTTATACTTTTTTAGACCTGGTCAAGAGCTTTTATTATTGCTGGGAAAAACCTGGTTTTGGACCTAGTCTAGTCCTGCTTTAATTTGAGTCCAGTACTGGTTTGGTCCTGCTGTCATTCGAGTTTAGTCCTAGTCCTGGTCCTGCAAGATTTGGTCTGTAACTGTCTTAAACAGTCTAGTTTAGTCCTGGTCCTGTTTCAGGCCTGGTCTTAACCTGATTCTAGTCCATAATCTTACCACAATGAAGCAGTCATATCATGGTTTCATAATTGTCAATTCATAATGTTCTATTTTTCAATTTTATTAGCCTGATCTTTGAAAACAAAATGGCCACTCTCTGGTTAGAAGGCAAATCCTTACAGACTGCACCACTGTGGCTTTGTCCAACTCCTCTTCTTTTCTATTTGCATAATTTATACACAAATTACCAGTGAATGTGTAACTTCTGAGATGTCACTGTATTTGGGCAAAGCGTGGAAACGCTTCCAGCTCCATGACTCTGGCTCCAGTTCACTTTCTATTGAAAAAAGCATCATTCCTCTCTCTAACTGCTGCTGTCTGACTCCTTTCATGGTCTCAAAATTATTATACTTAAAATGATTTTGCTTATTTCCAATATGGAACTCATCTCCAAATTCACTCCTATCGCTGCCAGCCTCATGAGCTTCATTTGACTGGAGCCGAATGCTGTGGGTGTAGTCCACCTCTTTATACAGTCTATGGGAATAACTTTGAAGCACTGCAAACTGTTTCAAATGAACTGGCTCTGCTTTTTCACATTATGAAGACTGGAAAATCAGACACAGCGCCTTTAAAGTCATGTGTTATTGTTTTTCCAGTGTCGACGTGCTGCGCTGGATCCAGGTTGTGTTGGTGCGTTCACATTGGACACAGTGGAAAAGGCTGCTCTGATAATTGGCACACAGAAAAACAGAGTGTACACTGAAGACACTGCATCAGGTCAGAGTCATTACAATTCCCGTTTCCATCATCTGTACCATTCACTCAATTATGGACCACATGTGTGCATTCAGCATACGGCTTTGGCCAGACTCACAATATTTCACAATATTTACAAAAAGTACAAGACAAGTACCATGTGAAATCTCCAAAACAAGGCATTTGGTTTGATTTGAAATGTACAAAACATTAAATTAGTTTCAGTCCGTACCTGAGATTCGCAAAGTATAAAACAGCAAGAAATCACAAGTTTCCAAACGAGATTAAATGACAACAGTAGATGACGTGTGGCCGTTTTATTAGGTACACCTGTTCTAACGCTTACAAATGGAAATGTGGGATGGACCAATCACATGCAAGCATTGAGTCACATGATGAGCCAACTGAAGCTTAAATCAAGGGTCAGAGAAGAGAAGAAACTTCTGGTTTAGACCCTAGACTAGACTTATTTTAGACCTGCTTTAGACCTTGGATTAGATTTGGTTTAGTCCTGGTCTAAAACTAGTTTAATGCTGGAAAAGACCTGGTGTGGAACTCGTTTAGTTTAGTCCTGCTTTCAATCAACTAGTCTTGGTTTAGATCTGCTTTAGACCTGCTTTAGATCTGGTTTAGTTCTTATTATAGGCTAGACTTTGTTTAGACTTTTTTTAGACCTCGTCAAGAACTTTTTTATTGCTGGGAAAAATCTGGTTTCGGAACTAGCTTAGTCCTGCTTTAATTTGAGTCCAGTACTGGTTTGGTCCTGCTGTCATTTGAGTTTAGTCCTGGTTTATTCCTAGTCCTGGTCCTGCAAGATTTGGTCTGTAACTGTCTTAAACAGTCTAGTTTAGTCCTGGTCCTGTTTCAGGCCTAGTTTGAATCTGATTCTAGTCCATAATCTTGCCACAATGAGGCAGTCAGATCGTGGTTTCATAATGTTCTATTTTTCTATTTTATAAGCCTGATCTTTGAAAACAAAGTGGCTACTCTCTGGTTAGAAGGCAAGTACTTACAGACTGCACCACTGTGTCCAACTCCTCTTTCTTTCTATATGCATAACTTATACACAAATTACCAGTGAATGTGTAACTTCTGAGATGTCGCTGTACTTTGGGCAGAGCCCAGGAGGAGGGAGAGCAGATCTAGTGCAGATATGGCAAAGCTTTGAGGATCCTAATTAACTTCATTTGACAAGAGAAAGGGCCAGGCTTAGGAATTCTTTTAAAAACTAGAAAGCAGCTTTAAGTGTGAAATAGAGAAATGTTTGGTAGCAGCCTGGAGTTGGTGGTTGGTGAAAACTTTGGATTCTAACAGTGAAGTTTTAGCCTTGTTTTGACCTAGTTTCTGTGCAGTCCTGTGGCCCTAAGCAGATTTTCACTGGAGGGCCTCATTAAAAGAGTTTGGTGCTCAAGTTTAGTGCAGGTTTATCCCACACTGTCCAACTTTGAACATCAGAGGAGGGAGAATTACAGTCATTTCCAATTATTTCATTTATTTGTAGTTCAAATGTTGAAGTCAGTCAGCTGGAGCAAAGTTTTTACAGAGAATAAGTTAAGTCCATATTGAATAGAACTGCCCTAAGGTGTGAACTAATTAGACGTCTAGGGTCATGAACGATTATGCAAAATATGACTCCGGTGACAGTTCACACCTTAGGGTAGTGCATGGGCCATTTCTGAGTTCTGGGCCATTAAATAAGGAAGGGAGGTCAGAGATTGTAGAGTTACACAGAATCAGGATGTGCGTGTTAGCATGTTAGTTGTTGTTTAATCGTAATGGGAAAACTCCACTCTGGTAGTTGAGAAAAGCTCCATGCTGCATCAGGTAAGTGAGGAATAACTCTGGACCCCTGTGCTCCAAATGAGGGGAGGGTTCAGTGCATTTCAGTGGCTTCAGATAGTTGATTAAAGCTGCACTATGAGACTTTCCTGGTGTGGGATCTTCTACCTGCTTGTGTACTTATTTGAAAAAAGACATTGCACATTACTCAACCCGCGTAGAAATCAGGTGGGGGGGGCACCAGTGGCAAAAGCCATTGTTGTGTCCTTAGGCAAGACACTTCACTTTAAGGCTGTGCAATTAATTTAATTCTGATTGTGATTTTGATTTGTAAGTCAAACGATCTACGAACTCATATAATGGAGTTGAAACAATTAAAGTTTAACAAAGTTTTTTGGGGGGGATATATATATTTTTTAATATTAATAAGAATATTTATTTTAGTTTTTCAACTATAGAGATTGTAGAACAGCTGGATATATGGTTTATTTTGGATATATTTATGTTTTTCTGTCTTATTTCATGTTCAAAGTTTATTCAGTTTATTCGTTTTATGTTTTATACATTGCAAACCTGCTCTACGGTTCATATTTGTAGCCTAAAGTTATTTTCAGTTTGAAAGTTTTGCGTTAATTATGTTTTTTGTTTGTTTTTTTTGAGAGAAAGAGAGAGAGAGAGAGAAATGCTGAATAAATGCATCGTGTAACTAAAAAATAATCGTTTGTATAATCGTGATTTCAGTATTGACCAAAGTAATCGTGATAATGATTTTTTCCATAATCGAGTGACCCTACATTGCCTGGTATGAATGTGGAGCTTTTGTGAGTGCTGGTGGTGGTGGGAGGAGCTGATGCGCAGCAGATTAGCAGCCTCGATTAATTAATGAATTAACATCAAACAAAGCAAATGTGTCTGAGTTCGGGATGACTCTTTCCATTCAAAAGATATAATATTTTGATTTGTGTTAATTGCTTAATTGCGATGACTGCAGAGGATAGTTGCCATAGTTTGAAAACATAGACCGTATATGAATGGACAGAGCTCCAAACAGGAAGTGCTCCAGGAGGCGCTTCCGGCTCCTTCTGACTCTGGCTCCCATTGTCTTCCATTGGGATCTTGTGACTTCTCTCTCTGGACCTACTGCTGTGGCCTCGGCATTTTGGTTTTAAATGTTCGTATGAAGCCGCGACACATGATCCTGAATTTATCATTTCTCTGTTTTATCCCTAAATCTAAATCTGAGCATAAATAACAGACCAATCAGATGCCGTCATTCCCCGAGGTCACTCCCAATAGTGTTAGTAACAGGTTTGATTGACAGCTAGTGTGTTTCCTTGCTAAGTAAACCCCCTTCCCACTTTTCGGTGAGAAGGATGGGCACATTTAACCACCTCAATCATGATTGGCTCTTAGGGTTTCTATGATACGCACGGTCAGATTTCCAAATAAGGACCTGGCTCCAGATTTTCTCCTGTAACCATGGCAACGGGAGCTTCATCTGAGTGGAGCCGAACGCTGTGGGTGACGTCACACTCGCTTAGTCCACTTCTTTACACGGTCTATGTTTAAAACCCATGAACAGAGCTGTTGTTGCTTCTCCTGTAATGTTCCAGAGTGTGGAATTAAACTTATCAATCTTACATTTATTTAAAACCGAGAGCTTCTGTGGCTACTTGGCTCTGTGGTGTCTTCTGCTTTTCTCCAAGGTGATAGACGAGTTTAATGCCATACTGCGGTGCATTTCAAGTGAAGTAATCACATCTCCATGGTGACAGAAATAGTTACCCAGAAAAGTCACACAGTACAACTTTAAATATGTGTCTTTAGAACAGGTGTACCTATTAAAATGAGTTGAGCACCAAACATTTGCACATCCAAACCCGTAAAAAGTTGATTCCTCCAAGTCCACTGAGGTAGGCGGGACAATAAATAAATAAAATAAAATTGTGAAATCCTATTGGCTCAGACGTTTGTTGAAATCTTGAAGTATAGTCTTAGTTTACAATATTGCAAAAAGTACTTCAAAAACGTATTTACAATGTTGAGTTCATCCAGTACAAATTCAGTTTTAAGTCATTAAGGAAAATTATAAATCTTCTAATATCCACAGAAAAGTTTGTTTGTTGCTCAAAAAAGGACACTTGTTTTGCCATAAAATCCTCGCATCACGTACTTCAAGTTATTTTTTTTCTTTTTCCAGTCATGCAAGAATGGCACTTGAAAATTGGCAGTAAAGAAAGTGAAGGATCAAAAACACGGTCCTTAATCCTGGTTTTGAAATCGATTGTTGTAGAAAAAAGTTTCTTAAAGTTTGGCGTCTTGTTTTGAAGTTGGGGAAGACAACATGGCTGCCGTTTGAATTTTTTGGTTTTGTCACCTTTTTCTCGACACCTTTGACAGCCAGATCTTCACCGTCTTGTCGCTGGAAAATAAAAAGGGGAAAAAGATGAGAGGAGGACATAGAAAATCAGAGAAACACAAAGGCTTCAATGAAATTCATGCAGCAGAGAATAGACAGGCAGATAATAAGGTTCAAAACATGCCACACAGATAAACATTGCATTTTCTATCCACACAATGGGAGAAAAACAGACCCGATATCGTCAAAAATAGCAGAAATTAGAATTCAAATCTGTCATCTGAATAATTCAAAATCACAATTTGAATAATCAGTTAGAAAATCACAAAAGTTGGACTCTGTTTTTTGGTAATATAAATGTTTTTAAGCCAATATTCAAATCTGTCGCGGGACGACAGATGAAAAATTGTCTTCTTGGATAATTAAGTTTACAAAAATGTGAATTAATAGAAAATAAAAGGCCTGTACCAGATTTTCATCCATGTATTTGACCAAATGTGAAATAGTGCGTTTTATTATTCGATATTCAGGAAGTGCACTGTTAAGGGTGAAGTATAGTTCTGCGTCGACTCAACGCGCACTGCCACCGTCGCCTTGTCACTGTCGTTTTTGATTTATGGATCTGCGTCGAGGTCTGTGCATCATGAAGTAATTCACCACCAAAACGCTAGGGGGCTAGAATATAAGCCCACTCTTATGTACAGTCTACGTGTGACCTGCAGACGTATAATCTCTGAAAAGTTTAACATGAACCATCTCTAACACGATAAAAGCACAGAACAGACTCACCATTAGTACAATATCCCTCTATCACAGAAATGAACACACATATCCCGCTGAGTCGTGTCCTTTTTAAGTCCAACAGAAGCTGAACTGCAGCAGGGCACAAGGAGTGATCTGTTTTTTTGAGTGCTTAGTTTATGTAATTTAGCCACGCGAGTTAAAGTTTTGTTTCTAGAAAACGTAAACACATATGCGCAAAGCTGCATTAAACATATTATTTCTCAATGTATATTGAAAGAAAGGAAAGCTGAGTACAGGAAATGTATGTAGTGCGGCGGTAGGGAGGACCAATCACACCCCTTATCGTCTGCGTCGTTTCCCTGCTGTCTGCATCGTTGCAACGCATAGTTAGAAAATTTCGGAGGTGCACGTCGGTCGACGCAGAGGCTCTGCGTAGGGGGTACCTGATGCAGACAATTTGACGCTGGACCGTAAATTGGCCTTTAGCATGTTAGTTGTTGGTTTAAGAGTTGTGGAAAGGGTTTATGAACTCATCACACCGAGTAATTAGGACGCTCCGAACGCATAAGAGAAGTGAGGAAGAACTTTGGACTAGGGCCCGACTCATATAACGGTTGGCTGAAATTATCGGCCGATACTTGGAGACATATTGACTTTCGTCTTAAAGTTTGCCAATCTGGGCCAATAATCCACGTGGGCATGTTAGACCTCGTTATAAAGCTTAGACTCTCTACATCAGGGGTCACCAACCTGTAGCTCGGGAGGTACCAGTAGCTCTCCACCCCCTTCCAAGTAACTCGCTAAGGGATTTCTGAATTATACGTATTGCGTTAAATAACAAAAATTTGATTGATTAAATGCCTGTTTCCATTGTAAATGTATAATTTTGATGCCTAATTGTGTTATGTTTTATAGGCATCTAACTGTACCTCATCTATGGCTTGCCATGGCTTTTATATTTACAAAATTTCTGTCCACTGCTAAAATTAGTCGCTGTCTGGCATTGCGTTTTACAAAAAGTAGCTCAGAGGAGGAAAAAGGTTGGAGATGACTGCTCTACATTATATCAGTTTCCAGCCAGATAAATGTCCTTAGCCGTGCACAGCCATCCATAGCAGCCATAGAGTTGTAGGGAGTATTATCTGTTACACAACTCAACCTTATGTAACGGAAAACCCTATTTCCTGTCAATCATCATCACTTTCTATGACCTCTTGTATAAAGCTGTGATATTATATGTTATTTATTTTTCTATTTTATTTTTACTCTACGGTTACATTTATATAATTATGTCTTATTTGACCCGTCTCTTGCTCTTTTTTGCTGCTTATATAGAATTAATTATTACCATTTATATTTTATCTTTGTTATTATATAGTGTGATGTGTGAGCTGCTGTGTCCAAATCATTTCCCTTGTGGATCAATAAGTCTAAGTCCAAGTCTAAGCACAACACTGAGGCACGGTTTTAAACGCTCTTGAGTCTGATCCATGATACTGACGAGAAATAAAAGTGAACTTCAGAGCAGTTTAGGACAGAAACAAAACTACTGCTGCTTTTATTAAACTTACTTGTGAAGACTTGTGATCTGAGAGGAGCCTGTGTGAGCGCTGAGTGTTGCAAATGTGTCAGTTTTTGTTCTTTCTCATTGTTTAGCTCTTAACTGCTGTAGCTCCTGCACATAAACAGTTTTCTTACACTGGTCTAGTGTAAAGTGACTGTAGTGTCTGTACATATGACATTACTGAACCTGAATTGATATGTAAATAAGCTGTGAACAGAGGTGTGAATGATCGACATTTACACACTTACACTTACTTACACTTACACTTTCTTTACAGGTTAGAATGTCATGCAGAAATGTCATTACGTCTTTAAATATGACATAAAGAGGCAGAATAACAGGGAATGTCGCCTAAACAAACCCAATTTAAAATCCAGTAGAGCCAAACCTTTTTAAAATTTTATAATCAATAAAAAATTTACATTTGAATTTTTACATCACTAAATATATCGACTTTTATATCGGCTATCGACTCCTCCAACTCCTCTTTTATTGGTATCATAATCCATATCGGTCAGGCCTGACTTTGCACGACTATTTACAATGAACTAGTTTTGTTTTTCACATTTTTAAAGACAGTAAAAATCAGGTACAGCACCTTTAGCTAATTGTCCCTGTGTGTCAGATGCCCTCCCTGTGTCTCCACTGGGTTCTACTCTGAGTAAAAGCTGCTAAACCTCTACAAAAATTAAACACGTGGGATTCTAAGATTAGTTAAGCAGTTTAGATTTCAGTCTCCTCTCAAATGTTAAAACTCTGGGCTTTTATTCACGAATGTTGCAGTTCGGTTTCATTATGTCAAAATACCTATTCAAAGGACTAATTTGGGCAAGTTAACTGGGCTAATTTGAATTGAAAATTTGTAGCGTCCTTCTGCAAGCCCATGGAATACATGTACAAAAAATACTTAAACAAAAAATTAAATAAACTAAATAATCCATGCATGTTGGAATGTGTTCACACTTGTCCTGATTCATTCCTGATTTAGTCCTGGTCTAGTTTTGGTTAATTTCCAGGTTTAATCTTAGTGCACTGCAAAAAAGCTTGGCCAAAATGGAAGATCTAAACACTTAAATCTATCAGAAAATGACTTAAAAGTAGTAAAATGATCTGTCCATGAAGCAAGATCATTTTACTGGACAAGTTAAATCTTAAAGGGCACATCTCATGCTAAATCAACTTTTCGGAGCTTTCTACCTTCTAAGAGTGATGTGTGGGCCTTGTATATGTCACCCAAGTGGTTTTTAGATTGATTCAACGTTTTTTTTTTTTTTTTAACAAATTGCAGAGTATTTCTGCCACCCTCCCACGTGACAACGAACTAAAGCTGCTACAACGATGACGTGGAAGATACAACTATGACGCATTTGACATAACAGAAAGTGCTTCGCACCCGCCTCACTCCACCGCCTCCACCCCGCATCGACTGACAATTCCCACATGAACACCTAAACAAAAGAGACAGCATAAGCTCATTGTTCTACACTGCAGTGTACATGATATAATAAGTTTATCTACTATCCATCCATCCATTTTCTTCCGCTTATCCAGGGCCGGGTCAGGGGGGCATCAGTCTAAGCAGGGACTCGCAGACTTCCTTCACCCCAGACATGTCCTCCAGCTCCTCCGGGAGGACCCTGAGGCGTTCACAGGCCAGCCCAGAGACATAGTCCCTCCAGCGTGTCCTGGGTCTTCCCCGGGGCCTCCTCCCGGTGGGACATGCTCGGAACATCTCCTGAGGGAGGCGTCCAGCAGGCATCCGGAAAAGATGCCTGAGCCACCTCAACTGGCTCCTCTCAATGTGGAGGAGCAGCGGCTCTACTCTGAGCTCCTCCCGTGTGACTGAGCTCCTCACCCTGTCTCTAAGGGAGCGCCCAGCCACCCTGCGAAGGAAACTCATTTCGAGTGCTTGTATCTGTGATCTTGTCCTTTGTCCTTGTCCTTGAGTTTATCTGCGAGTGTTTATTAATACTTTACCAATCAGTAATGTTCAGCTGATGTGGACGCGGTGCTTGAGCTTCGTGCTCCTCAAAGTCCTCGTCCGATTCTGGGTCCAACACATGCGGCTGAACGCGCTGTATCTCCATGACGAATAAAAGTTTATTCCTGCCACTATCAGGGTGCACGCCTGTCTCCCCCTCCCTCCCTGAGATGGGTGGAGGACGGGTGGCTCACTCGTCGCCTACATCATATTTGGAGGGCGGAGCCTGTGCTTTCTCAGGACGGGTGGGGGAATGAACAATAGTCGGCCTTTCATAGTTCCTGGTCTGTGATGCCTCCAAGAAATCAGTAAGATTTCAGAACTATTGTGTAATGGATGTTCCAAAACCCAAATCGTGCTTGTACATGTGCAGAAGATACAATGTGAAAAGAGTTATTTTGCATGAGATGGGCCCTTTAAAATAAACAACCTCTAGACTAGAATGAAGCATGTCAGAACTAGTGAGTAGATAAATAAATCTGTAAACAAGATGAAGAACCTGATATAAGTTTGAAAATCTTGGCCAGATCAGAGAAATTTGCAGAGTGTCTCAAATGTGAACGCACCCTTCACAACAAACGACAAACAAATACAATAATACAACACAGCACAAATAATAACACTGTTAATAAGCGGGGGATGAAAGAAAGAAAAGGTTAAAGAAAAGCATAATAAACGTGGGGAGGGGGGAGTGATAGTACCAGAAGAGGAGTCAGGCTCAGGGGAGGCTGGTGGCTCGGCCCTTTATGGCCAGAACCCTCCTCGGTAAACACGGGGTTAAACCAGGCTCATATGTCCACAGCTTCACCCGGCAGTCACTGAAGAACGACAGAGGGACGGACGGAGGAGGGGAGAGAGATGGAGAGAGGGAGGGAGAGAGAGAAAAGAGAGGGAAAGGGGAACGGGAAGAGTGATGGAGTGGAACAGTGAAGAGAGATAGGAGTGGAGAGAAAGAGAGAGAGAGAAAGGAAGGGAGAGAGAGGTAGAGAGGTAGATAGATAGACAGATAGACAGAGAGAGTGAGAGAGAGAAATAGTAAGATACATAGATAGCGATAGAGAGATAGAAAGAAAGAGAGAGAGAGAGATAGTAAGATAGATAGATAGATAGAAATAGAAGAAAGAGAGAGAGAGAGAGAGAGAGAAGAGAGAAAGAAAGAAAGAAAGAAAGAAAGGGGAGAGCAGGTTAGGTGTTGGTGTTGGTTGAGGTGTTGATGTGGTTGTTGTAGTGAAATATCTTCTCTGCATTTGACCCGTCCTTTGGTGTGTGTAGATCAGGGCTGGGTAAACTACGGCCCGTGGGCCACATCTGGCCCAATGAACATCTCCATCTGGTCTGTGCGTCCTGCAGGCTCCAACTCAAACTGGACCAAGTCCAACGGACCCTCTGAGCACGAACCACAGACTCTACAGCACAGCTCTGTGAAATCAGCTCGGTTTGATGCAGATGGACCTCTCTGCACCCCCCAGTGTGTGTGTGGGTGTGTGTGTGCGTGTGTGTGTGTATGCTGAGTGTGTGTATGCGTGTGTGTGCATGTGTGTGTGTGTCTGAGTGTGTGTGTGTGTGTGTGTGCTGAGTGTGTGTATGCGTGTGTGTGCATGTGTGTGTGTGTCTGAGTGTGTGTATGCGTGCATGTGTGTGTGCCTGAGTGTGGGTATGCGTGTGTGTGCGTGTGTGTGTGTGCGTGTGTATGTGCCTGAGTGTGTGTATGCGTGTGTGTGTGTGCATGTGTGTGTGTGTGTCTGAATGTGTGTATGTCTGAGTGTGTGTGTATGTGTGTGCTCACTGCCCTAAACTTTAGCTGTACACCACAGCACTCTCCTCTCTCCCTCTTCTCTTCTCTTCTCTTCTCTCTTCTCTCAGAGCTAACCTCATCCCTTGTTAGTGAAACAAACCCCACTCCTGTCTGTGTTTCCCATAACATGCTTGTAATCGTCTCCTCCCTCACCTCACAGCGCTCCTCTCCTCCTCTCCTCCTCCGCTCCATATGCACTGAACAGAAGCTCCGCCGTGTTCATTATTCCCAACAAAAACTAAAGAAGCTCCATGCAGAGTCCAGCAGAGCACAGGCAGATCTGTACAGGAATATTCTCCGAGAGCCCCTAAAGCGCCTGAGATGCTCTGACTACTGCTGACTCCAACGACTATTTTTATATTCACGACTTTTTCTAGTTCATTTGCAACTGAATCATAGTAAAAGGAATTTGTCCCCCCTAAATGAAATTAAATTGTAGCAGTATGAAAACAGGTTAGGCCCTCCAGAACATGTCCATGTCTCAATGTGGCACCTACACAGCAAACACTGGAGGGTTAAAACTTCAGAGTAAATGTTTCAGAGTTGTTTTTAAAGTGTTTCTGAAACTATTTGAAAGTTAAATGGTTGAAAGTTAAATGATATGGTTGAAGTTAATTCAACTTCCCTTAGTGTTAATTTGGCTCCTCCCACCACCACTTCAAACTCCCACAAGAGAAGACCAGTCTGAACCAGTTTTGTTCATAATTTCATCTTAAATTAACTCAAATAAAGAGTAAAGAGAAGCTAAATCAGAAGAACCCTACAAATTGTTATCTGTTTACTCTCAAAACTTCAATATAACTCTTGATTTCGGGTTAAACAGGAAATTTGGTCCATTGTTACTTAATGCACATTTCCAAAAATATTAAATTCACTCTAGAACAGATTGGACTCATATAAACTCTGAGAAAATGTTCAAATTGATTCTGTGCGAGTCAATTTTAATACTCCACTTTTTGCTGTGTAGGAGAAAAAGAAAGCCCATCGCTGCTCTACTTCCTGTCTGAGACTGGACAGTTGACAGTTGCTACAAAAGTTCCATCATACATCTTTAAAAGCTGAACATTACTGCTCTTGCTGAAAAAAGTTGAAAACACTTGCGTTCCTGTCTACAAAACTCTGTCCAGTTCAAATTGCTCTTGTTGTAATGTGCTGTATCTTGTCTCACCTGGCGGCGGTGAAGATGTGCTTGGCGTTGGTGCAGATGGCGTTGATGGGGCTGTCGTGACCTCTGACCTCTCCTATAGGGCTGAAGTTGTCCACGTTCCACACTTTGAGCATCCCGCCACGACAGGCACTGAGCAGCAGGGGGCGCCCCGGGACCAGCGCCAGAGCACACACCCAGTCCTTGTGAGCGTTGGGGATTTGCTGTGGACACAAAACACCAGACTGTAAAAAAAAAGAATCCAATCTGAGCAAAACACTCCCATTAAAAGGTCCTGTATCACACAACATGGACTTTTGTGAGCTTTAAATCAAGTTGTTGCATCCTTAAAAACACATCTGGAGTTGTGTTTTGTTTCATTCACATGTTTGAGTAATCCTGCATTATTAGTCTGTTTACATCTCTACAGCTGTAAATGCTCTGTTCCACCTTGTGATGTCATGAAGTGGTAGTTGGGTCAGTCCATATAAAATCAGCTGCCTTCTATTTAGGCTATTAAACGTAACTGAACTGTTCTATCAGGTGGAAAAGTCCCTAAGCTCCACCAAAAACGACCCGTGAGCTCATTTTCAAAAATTCCATTTGAAATGAAGGAAATTAATAGTAGATGTTTTTATTACTTTAAACTAATCAGAATATGCCAGAGTTTCTCTGGTTAAAAAAAATTATCAACATCTAACTGTGCCACATGGGGAACCAAGGGTCCAAAGAAGGGGCCAAAAAGATCAAACCTGGTCTGTGACCATATTTGGGACTCTACACCATCCACATGAAAGCCCAGAAAAGTGTGAGGTTGTTGTCAGAAATGGTCATTCTCTCAAATATTCAGGTTCAACAGTTAGTTTGTAAATATCTACTTGGAGTAAAAGATCTTGAACCTCAAAAATGAAAAAAAAAAAAAATTGAGCGGCAACAAAATGTGAGATTTTGGGGGCCCACAGTGCCCCCTTTAATAAAGATACACAATATTTGACAACAGATTCAGAATCTATGACCAAGAATCTACAATAATACACATTTTCAGCTTCCTAGCTCTAGTATTTTGGATGAAGTTCTGGTCTCTCAAACATGTTTATAAATTAAGGCGTCAGAAAAATGGCCCCAAAATTTCAACGGGCCATAACTCAGGAATGACTCAAGGGATTGAGCTAAAATTTGAGATTCTTTCATATGGTGATTTTAGAAATGTTTTGAATTTTTTTCAGCCAAATCTGAGATGGCTCATAGTGGATACCTTGAAAACGGCTGATTTCATATGGACTGACCCAGTTTTCAAGTTAACAGATCCTTTTAATTTTTTTTCCCCTTTTGTTCAATAGAGATTGGCAATTCCAGAGGTGAAACACATTGGAACACTTCCTGTATTATCACATGACATCACAAAGTGGAACATAGTGTTTTCTGTTTGAGAGAAGACCTCAGATCAGTAAATAGTGTCATATGGGCCCTGGAAGAGTTCTGCCTAGTTTGTTTCCTCAGTACTATGTGATAATAATGGTCTATGATGAATACATTTAGACTCAGGAAATAATTATGTGGGGCAAAAATGAATCAATAAAAAACATTCATGGGTTTCACGTGACTGTTTATATGTCTGAAGAAGAGCTTAATCCGAAACGTCACACTGTAGTGTCATTCAAAGATGTTCTACTCTTCTTTGGCCTAGAATATCATCACTGTTAAAACATGTTTGTAGTGTTTTATTTGAAATTCGGGTTAATGTAAGAACTGTTTTCATGAAACAAACTGTAACTGTCCATCTACAAGCGTGGTGCAGTTGTACTCAGATTTGATTGTGTTGCTTCCAGAGTCGTCCACAAACAGTGATACCCAGAGCTCTGCTGGAGCTGTGGGGAAGTTTATGAATAATAGAGCTAATGTTAGTTGTTTTTTGCACCATTCACCAAGTGAAGTTATCAGTTCCAATACAAAGGCTAAAACAAAATACAAATGTGTATCTTTTAGACTAAAGGAAGATGAACAAAGTAAACAAACCAGCAAAAATAATTCTAACAGAATTATATTTTTTCAACCTGATCTTTGCAGTTTTACATTGATGGTGTGTTTCTACAGGTGATGTGTCAGGAGGAGGACTTTATACCAGATGCCCTCCCTGTTACTGTGTTTAGAGGAAGAAAAGCAGCACATGGTGAGTTTTGTTTCTGCTGTACACTTCTGATGTTCACTGTGATTCTGTTCTGGTCCATTATCTTATTAGAGAATAAAAGGTGCTTCAACTATATTTAAACATGTACAAAGCAAAGTAGATGATCAGAATATAATCATGTGTTCTTCTGTGTCCACAGGTCGACTCTAGAGCTACTTCACTCACATACTTAGTTCACAGAACAAAACAGACTGTTTTTCACTGTGTCTGTGCTCTGTGTGTTTGATTCTGTTTAAGAAAACGCAGAACTGTGGAAAACTGAAAGCTGCTTTTGCATTAATTGACGGTACAATATTTATTGCAATATTTTGTGGAGGCCAACAAAATGGTTAATATGCAACTTTTTTTTAAATGCTTTAACAAGCTTTTGGTTCTGTCGTAATCCTAAGATAAGATCTAAAATGTAAAAGTGCAGTTATTCCTTCATGTAGTCCACACTGAAACAGAGCAAAGGATCATGGTCTATGTAAGTCTCTGCTTTTTTTTTTTTTTTAGCTATTGCTGCACCAAAACTATTAATTTAGCAAAGAAACTTGTCATTTCGATATACTGCGGTGGTCCACGATATTATTGTGAGACTTTGGCAAAACAATATCACAATATTTCAGTTATTGTTACATCCGTAGTTAAAAAGAGCTGTAATACTGTTATGTGGAACATTCCCTTGTAAAAACAGTACATGGAGATGAGCAGGTGGTGGACCCTTCATCAGAAAAGTAACATAGTGCACCTTTAATATCCAAAAGGAGTGATTTATGCAGCAACTTCCATTTAAGCAACATGTTCCCTTCTCTGACAAGATTTTAATGCTTTAATGTAGGAATAATGAGTCTATTTAATCATAGCTGTTCTTTGATGGATTTAAGAATTTAAAGTTGGATGTGACCAATTACACAGTTAAGAAGCTTCATTCTTTTTGTACATTAGCGGCTCAGATTTGCTGCAGAAGGTGCAAAAACAATTTAGATTCCACCCACATAACAAAACATAACCAAGAGAAGTGGAAGAGATGTACCTTTGAGATTTTCTGCGGATATTATTTAAATTACCGCACTGACAACAGCCCATTTTATTTTATTGAAGACAGCTTTGTTGGAAAGTAGTTTTCGATTCCACCTCCACAAATGCAAAAAGCTTTTCAATAGTAGCCCTGGGCTGTTTTAAAAAGAGCTTCCATGGGATATTTTAGCTGTCGATATTAAATGTTGTGAAATAAGTGAAAGGATGGCTCTAAAATGTCTGTATATGTATCAGGGGTGTAACAGTAACTGTACAACGTCCCGTCCTAAAAAGTTCCACACGGGACTTTCAGTTCAGTGCAGAGTTGTGCACGAGTGAGTTTGTGCAGTTTGTGAGTGTTTACATTCAGCCACTACATGTGCAGGTACACAAAGGCTCGGCTCTTTAATATTCATGAGGGAACTCATCTGTGATTGGGGCAGTGTTTCCCGCAGAGCTTTATAGTTAGGGTGGCCACCTTGACAACAACTGTCCCCCACCTTGAGTCTGTACCATCTGACACTGTAACTGCAGCAGATGTGCACTTACTACAGACAATGTGGACAAGTTGTTTTTTTGTTTTTTTCTGGCCAAAAATCTGAAGATTGAGTAAAGGTTCATGCTGGAACTGTTAGTGGTATGCTTTACTTTTTGAAAAGTTTTGTTTACTGTTGACAAGGAATACATTTTTTATAATATTTCACACATTTGTTGCTTATTTGAGAATATTTTATTTAACTTATTAGTTTTAACAAGCAACACTTTGCATTTATTTTATTTTCCCATTTGTATAATGTTAAAATAAATAGTTGGTTTAATAAAAAACACAAATAAACAACAAGCAAATGGTTTTGCATTTTATTCCCATACTGTACCGAAAATGAACCAAACCATGACCTCAAAACCGAGGGACATACTGAACCATGACTTTTGTACCATTACACCTCTAGTATGTCTATTAAGAATGTATAGGATGTAAAGACTGTGTAGTCTTATTAATAGCTGTAAAGTAGTAAAAGTGATGCTATTGATAGAAGTAGTAGTATTAGAACTAGTAGTAGTATTAGAAGTAGTAGTATTAGTGTGTAATCCCTCAGTCGTCCAGGTGAGGTGCTGTAAACTCCTTCAGTTCAGACACTGGTGGACACTGCGCCTTATATCTGACTGAAGGAGGACTACACCGAAACTAACAGTTGGCCGAAATATATCGGACCAATATTTGGACTTTTTAGTGCATAGGCCTTAAACCTCCATCACAGGCCGATGTTTTGTTTTGGTCGATCTGATGTGTGTAAAAATACACACAAAGCTTTATATCAATACTTGAATAAGAAGAGAAAACTGCACAAACTGTGACAATGCAGTTCTCTTCAAGGTTTGTGGTTAAAAAGGGCTCGGGGTGACTTTTCAGTATATTTAAATTACACAGTTTGGGAAAAATAATCAAAACCGGACAAAAAAATATTGGCAGATCTTATCGGTGATTAGTATCGGCAACAGTCATGAAAAAAACAAACACATCAGTTTATCTCTACTTTTGTCCAGTTGATAGAATTTTCTCAAGTTGTAGTAGTAGTAGTAGTAGTAGCAGTGTTGTGCAAGTTCACACTTTTCATGAACTAGTTCAAAGTTCAGTTCACACTTGTTCAAAGTGAATAGTTCACGTTCATAGTTCACAATTTTAATTTTGAACTAGTTCAAAGTTCAGTTCATTTTATATTTAGATGAGATCTGTAAATGAAAGGCTGCTTTTATTTTTCAAACTGACTTCTAGTTTACAACAACTTTACAAGATACACTGTTGGACAAGTGACTTTAAAACTGTAATGTGTTATTTATGACTTGTTACTGTCATTTCAGAGTCATTTGTTACATTACAATATTACTGTATTTAAAATGTAAAACATTACACGACTATTGCAGCACTTTTAATTTACTCTCACCAAAAGAACTGTTAAGATGCTGAACTTTTGTGCCGTATATGGACTGAACCAGGACTAAACCAGGTCTAAACCAGGTCTAAACCAGAACTGAACC